ATTGTTGAGCGGAAAAACTTACAAAATTTAGTGCTTTTTTCGAATGGTTCGGCAAATTGAATAGAGGCACAATGAACTGAAGATGAGGGAGTTTTTGCAACATCCACCATTTTACATTACACAAACTTACAAAAACACAGCCTCGTCGATTCGCTTGTGATTGACCACCACCACCAAACCAACCTTATGTTTGTTTGTTTCTTCTGGCCGGTTTTGTTTATAGTTTTCGCTCGGATTTGTTTTATTGTTTCAACGGTGTTTTTCTGTTTGTTTTAGCGCCGGTTCCGATGGAACCAATGGTTCCACTTCCGGTACCCACAATACCCCCGGTGGGGTTTCAACTAGTACGCGATGCCAGTACTGGCGGGCTGCTTTTCTTGCCCACAACTACCGGAATAGGTTAGTTTTTGTTTGCTTGCCATTTTCCTAGCATTAACAACTTAAACCACAAATCACACATCACCACAACTCCTGACCAATTTTGGGAGCGAAAAATTCACCTTCGATCATTTGTCTTTGGCAGAGCCTCTCCAGCAAGCGGTGGTTTGGCCCAGTTATCATCAACCCTCTTCAGTGTTGCTGCCGTCTCTTTCGTCTATGCAACCGCCACCTCTTCAGTTGCTCAGTTCAGCATCGTCAGACTATCTGGCAAGCAGTACCACTTTGCATCAGCACACGCAAACGCATAGCACCAGATTGGTTGCAGTGACGACCGATTCAAAGCGCAAACTTCCTCTACCTCTACCAACCACTGCCTTGATCAAAATCGAAGCCGACGGATCGATGGATCAAACCAAGCTTCAAACCGTCAGCACTATCGCTAATAATGCGGGTACTGTTTTCACCGATCAAACGGTACCTTCGCTGGTGACAACCCATGTGATATATCAGCACCCTACAAACCTCATCGTTTCTCAGAACCCCATCCTTAGCACTGAGGCGGCAAGCTGCCGCTCCCAAGCCACTTCCCCGGTAATTTCTTCGGAGTCGGTCCAACTTCAAGACGAAGAACACTTGAGCTCCTCGACTGTGCAGGACGCCAGCAACCAAACGGATAGTCCAATCTGCAGTGAGGACGACAACACCACGCATGCCCTATCAGACGTGATTGGCGAGGAAAAAACGAAATACACATCCGAAGTGGTCGAACCAACACCAGAAGAACCACCAAGCGGACCTTTCGAACCGAACCGGGACGAAGAAATGATCGCCAGAAAGCTGACAGAAGGGGCAAACTTCCCCAGTGCAGCCCACGAAGAAGCCACTGGCGATAAACTGGCCCAGCAGCCCGATCTAAGTGGGCTGGAGTTGCTCTCCAACAGCATTGTGGAGTTTGAAAGGACCATCCAAAGTTCCGAAGAAACCCAAGAAGCTTCACCAGTCACCGCCGTAGAAGCGCCTGCTCCAACGGAATCTTCCAGCCAAGTTGCCCTGGATGACGCTCTTGGAGGCTTGGAAATACTGTGCGCCTTGGCAGAACAGAGAATCCGGGAGGAGAACATAGAAAAGCCTTCAAGGAAGCACAAGCGCAATCGATCGAGAGAGAGGCATCGAGAGCGTAAGCGCGAAAAGCGCAAGTCTCGCAAGCACTCCGCGGATGAGCCGAAGAAAAAGAAACTTAAGGGCGGCAAGCACCGCTCTAGAGCTGAGAGGCACAAAGAGCGCGAACTCAGACGCCTGGAAAAGCGGCACTTTTCAGAAAGACTAGAGATAGAAGCTGAGGCATCGCAAATGGGACAGTGTGCTTGCCAATACAAGAACTACAAAACACCGGAATCGGAGCTTGAAGTCAAAAGATTCCTGGAGAGCAAAACGCGACCATCTTATTGCTGTAAAGGTGACTGGAACTGCATGAATTCCATAGAGATGGAGATGCGGCTAAAGCTTGCGGAACTCCAGCGGGAGTATCAGGAGAAGCGGAAGGAGCTGAGCAAGCTGAAGCCGAAAAAGCACTCCCACCGCTCCGATTGTCTCAAGAGGAAATCTAGAAAAAAGTCAGTCCAATCCGAGCGAAGCACTTCGCCTGCATCCAAAGACAATGAAACCCCTGTACCGGAAATAAAAGCTGAACTGTTGTTAAAACCCTCAAAACTAGGGGAGGTCCACAAGCGGCGACATTCGCCTCCGGACTCTTCGACGGAAAACCACTCCTCCTCTAAGAAGAGGAAAGTGGGGCGCCCCAAGAGACTGATGTCGACGAATGAAATACTGGGAACCGAAACAATCGTGGCGAAGAAACTGAAAAGCAACTTCGTAGGACGCTTGTTGGCGGCTAAAGAGAAACTCACTCAACAAAGCGACGAGAAGTCGGCAGATGCCACTCCGCCCAGGTATGTGGAGGAACCGTACACGCACAAACTGAAAAAAGTGAAAATCAACACTCCCGTTACGGAGGAAGCGAAGTCATCCAAAATGCGACCAACTCTCAAAGCAGAAGCCACAGTCAAAGTGAACGACGATGACTCTCACTCAATTGAAGACGAAGATGAGTCGTTTGAAGACGACGCTATTTTAGATGAAAGTTTCGGAGAATCAGTGCTGGGCGCTGAAGATTCGGAAGTGCGCGAGACGAATAACAACGAGAAAAAAGTTGAAGCCTCAAGTGGTGAGCGGGTTTCGAACCGATGCACTTTAACGGACTCTCATTTGGAAATCGACAAATTGAGAGTGTTAACTGCGATGGGAGGATTGTTCTACGCCGGCCATCTGAACGCAATCGAGCCACCTGATGTTTACTCCATCACCCTGGATGGCGAGAGAGGAAACCGACCTCACATTATGTCAAGGGAGGAAATCTTGCGGGATGCGGTAAGTGTTTTATATGTTTTTCTCATTGTAAATTGCATTATTTTGTCGTCAATTGACCCTGTCTTGAATATTTGCAACAACTTCCCAAATATCGAAATATTTCATTCATGTTTTACCTACATGTTTAATATTTCCTGGGGTTTCTTCAACTACTTGATGTTGTACAGGTTCATATTTTTTTACTTGTCCGAACCCTAATTTACCATATACTATGATGGATGAAGGTTCAACAATTCGTTCTCAGAGTCACGTTTTATTCTCCGTTATATTTCATATTTACTATTCTTACGGTACTTTGAATGGCTGAATCCAAATACAACAGGAAAACTGCACTGCAGCTATGCGAATATTGAAGAACGCCGCTGCATCGGACAACGAAACTACAAAAAAGTGTCCAATTGGATCTTCTGAAAGGTGATTTTTTAAGGATCGACATTTTCAATTTTGCTTCCAAAAGTGTCTTAATCGTCAGCAATTTTTTAGGTTCCTTTGCTAAGATTTCAGCACACTTTCCTTTTATTAGATCGCGAAAATATGCTACTTTTTCGCCTTTTTGTGCTCGTTGCTACGGCATTGAAATGTATTCTGATGCCAGAAACTTCATTAATTCATATCTTAAGTAAATTTGTGAAAATTGCAAAAATGTTGAAACGTTTGGATACACCTTTTATTGCATCTTTTCAACATAATTTAATATGAGAATCAAAGGAAAAAAAACAAAACTGTGTACCGATTTACTCAGAATATCGCCTGTTGTTCAGCGTTTGACTCGGAATATTTCGAAGTATTTTTCAGTAAATTACTCTGAAACGTTCATTTCTTTTCCTGCTGCTTGATTCGCAGATTTATCTCTTCAATATCCGCTTGCTTAAAAGTGAGTCATTCAAACTGGACCGTTCTGATAATCAGATCAAAACGCCACAAACTGAAATTTTAAGTTTCAACAGGAAAAGAACTGAGTGTTTTAGGATAATTTACTGGAAAATACAAAAATACTGTTAAAAATTCCCAGTCGAATCACATTAAACAACAGACGCCATTCTGAGTAGTGTTGAGAGTATGAAAAGATGCACTAAATACACTTAACAGGTTTTTCTAAAGGTGTTCCATATATTTTTGAGACTGAAATACAAGTGTTAAAAGGGCCAAGCGTTAAAAAAAGGATGCTTTTATTAAGGGAAGCTGTTTCAGATTAACGTATCGGCTTTTCGAAAATACAGGGTGTTTCATGATAACATGTCTGAACTGAATCTGTGTATGATGTTCGCTCAAAAACTTCAAATCAACAGATCGAAAAGCGCTTGATTATGAGCACTGAAGGTTCAGTATTTCTTGGTTTCACCCCTTCAGAGCTTTGCAATTTTTAACACATTTACGTACAAAATTAATCAATTTCACAAAATTTTGCATTTTTCAGGTAAATATATATTTCAATGGCATGCAAGGGAAAGTGTAGTAAAATACTTAGCAAAACAAAAAACCTAAAGTAACAATTTTGAATCATAAAAAATGTAGGCACTTTTTGAAGCAAAATTTAAAATGTAGATACGTAAAAACCGTCCTGGGAAGATCCAATTGGACATTTTTTTGTAGTTTCAGAGCTTGTAACGCCGTCCTTTGTCCGATGCAACGGCGTACGCGAACACACGAATAGAAAATATAATAACAAAATCAATTTTTGACCCTCCAAAGATTCTCTCACTTCAAAACGACCGTAAAAGTAATAAACCGCTTGTCATATCGTCCGGCTTTATGGCTATGGCAAGGAGAGAGACCGAGCAGGTCGGACATGCGAGAAAAAAAGAAATGGTAAAGTCGGCACAAGATCAGTGCCAAGATAACAGAGCCTGCCTGTACCACATCGAGTGCGTCCGACAAGGTTATAGAAATGAAAGATGTTCTGGTGAATAAAAGTCCATCAGTGGCGGCGATGATAGGTTGCCCTCCGTTTCTGCCTCAGTAGCGGCTCGTGACTATTGCAGTATCATTTTTGGTCTTATCTGTTCACCTGGAAGGAAACCGCTTGTATATTTTGTTGAATACCAGTCCAAACACGCTTTTAGAACCGTCAATATCATTTTCTATGACTTTTTCCTTTCTCAGATTGTAGAAATATCACCGAAAAGTACCGCAGAATTAACGGCGGGCACTAGATTGTGCGCCTACTGGAGCCAGCAATACCGATGCCTTTATCCAGGAAGCGCTGCTGAGCCGGGCACTCCAGACCCACAACTGGACGCAAAATTTGTTTCAGTCGAATTTGACGACGGCGACAGCGGCAGAATCGCCCTCCAAGACATTCGACTGTTGCCTCCCAACTATCCTGTCATGGGTAACTACTCTGAACCTCCATCATCAACCCGGTTTTCCCACAACGAACACTTTGTTCCAGAATACGACCCCAATCCGCTTCTGAGCCTCTCCAGGCGGAAACGCAGAATGTCATCCAGCGTCTCGACGGAAGAAAAGCAGTCATCCGAACCCCCCGTTGAAGATGAAGCACAAACTGTCCTGTCTACCACTTCAAAAGAGCGTACGTCATCTGAAAGCGATCACCACAAGCAAAAGAAACGACTGAAGAAGAAAAAGAAGAAGAAGAAACACGAATGCGCGGAGGAGGTGTGCACGCATAAAAAGCATAAAAAGCACAAGAAGCGCCGGAAACACCATGGCGAACTCGACGATGAGATGCGAGCATCTCAGCCATTGGCCGAGCGATCAATGATCTGCACAATCATTCAAGACGTGCGCCCCAATAATGAGGAAGAAGAAGAACAAGAGGATCAGGACGAAGACGAGGATCAGAAAGAGCAAGAGGATCAGGACGATCCAGAGCATGAGGAGGATCCAGGAAACGAGGAAGAACCAAAGGATCAGGAAGAGCCAGAAAATGAGGAAGAGCAAGAAGAACAAGAGGAACAGGAGGAGGAGGAAGCGCAAGACGCGGAAGAAGCGGATGAGGAGCACGAGAGGGAGCCGCAACAGGACCAGGTAATGAGGGAAAACGACTCACTAAGCTCACCAATGGAGGAAATAATTGAAAATGATCAGTTCATGGCGTCGGCAATCTATGCTGAGACGTCCAATATCAAAGGCTCGCCGTTGATCGAAGCCGATACCTCCAAGGACGATATTGAGGAAAAAAGTTCATCGGATTCAGTGAGTATTTGTTCAGTACTGGTGGCTTCAATATCTTAGATGTTAAGTAATTTATCTTCTGATTCCAAACATGCAAACGATGGAGTATGTAAACTTGTCTGAGTATGTGGGTTATGGTCTGAGAAAACGTTTAACTCTTCAGTTACTCGACTGGAAGACTTCAGTCGAACTGATTGGATCTCTTCAAGAAAGTTTGGCTTGAACTCAACATTAGAGGATTAATTCAGCAGTTTCAGCAAGCAAAACTTTCAAAATTTCCCGTTCACGAGCACTTTCCAACAGGAAAATGCCCATTAATTAATTCAAAAAATTGACTAAAATCTGCTGTCCCGCCAATTTTGCAATCAGCTATAGGTTTTATTTTTAAAAATACGATATAAAGTTTGGAAGCAAATCGTTGCGCAAAGTTTGAGTTAGTAACTTTCAGACCAATTTGCTTCATTTGATAAGACTTTCGGCGTTTTTTTGTTTATTTTGCGTCACTTCATGCAACCAAACAACATGAAAGTTTTGAATTCAGTCAACCACTTTGTTTCGAAAGTTTAAAAATAAACCCTGTAAGTTGAGGTCAAAAGTGAAAAATGAATAGAAAATGTAATGCTATTGTATCTGAGTTAAAAATATTGCTGACATATGAAAATGAGTAAAGTTTCGTGAATTTTGGCATTTCTTCAGCGCCAGCTTCGGTGGCCTGATGTTTATTTCTCAGCTGTAGCTATAAAGCATTTTTGCTGAATATTTCGGACGCAAAATGGACAGAAAGTGGCGATATTTTAATATTATTGCGTATTAAAATATGGTAATTGGTAATTCAAGAGGACGTAAATTAAAGCTTCTGGTATGTTGTAAACATATTTCTGTTTCTGGACAGCTCTGCTTAAATTAGATCCTGTTTTCGTAGTAGTAGACGTTTCTTTCATTATGCATGCTAGCTGAAATTTATCAAGTCTTCCGTTGCCGGGTTACATCTTGATTTTGGATGTGAATTTCTCACTCAGTTTCACTGTAGTTTTTCTTATTCTGTTTTGTTAATAGATTTTTCTAGTACATGGATGCATCATTCTGGTAAAAAAGTCTCATAAAAAAGTGAGTTCTGCATACGAAAACCCAAAGACAAACCACTTTAGGACTTTAAACGGGGGTCCAAGATTTTCTAAGGTTCAACAACATTCCCTCGATTAGAGCTTAAAGAAAGAGAAATATCAAGCACCTGCAAGGGAAACTGCAGGGCTTGAATGAGATAGTTTTATTCATTAAAAACATTTATGTAAAATTGTGCATTTTGTCAATTGGTTTGATCTATCAAAAAACAATACCGATTTTGTATGCATCATTTATAAGACTGTTTTTATCCAATTTACTGTTAAAGCTGAGATCGCAGTTAGTTCAGAAAAGGCAGAAGTTCAATGGTTTCTTCACAGCGTTCACTGAACAGCTGCGATCTGCTGCTGTTCATTACGAGGAAAATACTGTGTTGCACCCTTAACAGTGAACCCCGTTAGCATAAAAGCGACTTTTGGGTTCTTTACATCATCCACCTTTCAGGATTCGAATTCGCCACGAGAACGGCAACCATCCTGCGAAAGCAGAAGCAAAATGAATGCATTTCTGCCTGCAGTTCAGCTCTGGCATTGGTCCGGCAACTGTTACAAAACTTCCCGAGCAAAAGGGAAAGCGAAGAAGCAGTTCTACAAATCCATTCAGAGAAAGAAGGAATCTATATCGGTAAAAATTTCTATAGCAAAAATTTTATTTAGTTTCGGGTGTTTTATTTATTGCCCATAAACAAGTAGGCCTGGGTAACTCAGTGAATTTTCGGGAGTTGGCGCAATGATGGGGCGCCAACCCATCGCACCGCCACAGCAAATCACCGGTGCAGTTGCGTTGCAGTCGCCCATTTGTTGCGGGAACACATGTTGCATCGCGTTTTTCGAAAATAAATTTCTCAGAATCGAAAAATACTCTTCAAGTTCAGAGTTGTGCGTTCGGCAAAGAATAGTGTACTCTAAATGTCGTCAACATTCCTGCAAAGCTGAAAAGTTAATTCAAATCGCATAAAATTCTGAATTTTGCGCGCTTCGTAAATGTCGATTTGAAAATTAACGCTTTCACGCAACTCTCATTTCATTTTCATTTTTTTTTTGTTGGCGTTTTCGTGTTAATTTGTCTGTCTTTTTAATTTTTTTTAACAAAAGACATAAAACTGTATCTCGTATTTGCATATGCAAAACGGTTTTTTGGAGACTAGCTTCAATGGGCCTGATGTTCACAATATAAAGCCGCCGAAAATATTGCCAAAGTTTAAAAATTTCTTGTGAAGGAATCAATGGTTTAATCGGAACCAAATCCGCACTATCAGTGAGCCGATGCTTCTTGTATTGAATACTGGAACCCAAATTTCCATATCTAAAGCGGTTCTTTAGCGAAAAGCTTCAGATGAGCTTGATAGTAAAAATGTAAAGCAGACCAAATTTTAAATTTTAACTCCGAAAGAACGAAGAGCGCAATCGATACCAAATACACCCTACGAGTCACTTGAAGAATCCATAAAATTTCAGTTGCTTGTCGAAAGACTAAACTCAGTTCAAGCTAAAAGACTTGTCGATTGGAGATCATTCTTATTAGCTTTCTGCGAGCTGGCGCCCCATCCTCCATTTTATACCCATTAATACTCATGTTCACTACACTTTCACAAACTACCGCACTTGCCATTCGATATTTCCCATCTAAGATTGCGATTATCGACCCATTTCGTCCACTTTCGGTAGGTAGAAAGTGCCTGTTTGCATTTCAATCATTCCAAAGGCAAAATTTACGTTCCCACTTAACGAAAACCGCTCCAAGTGCCGATCTTTCACTATATTTGTCTGAATTTCACTCAGCTACAGTGATTGATGCACAACGCCAAAACTAAAATTAAAAACTGAATTGATTTGTTTTTTGTAAAAATATTGACTAAACAAAAAAGCCGCGAAGAAATCACTTAAAAATGAAACTGTTGCTCAATTTCCGCGCAATGATGGAAACCAACGAAATTTCAACTAACTGAAAAATGTCCTTTAAAACTTCTGATTTAAAGAATTATTCCGCCACAAGCGCAATTCGAGGTGCGACGCAGTGAGGGCGATGAGTTAAAGCTCACCAACTCAGAGCGACATCAACTCAACACAGTGTCACCCAGGCCTATAAACACGTATTGAATAGAAAACCAGTTTGTTTTGCAAAATTGAAAATTTTTACAACGTAAAGTGATTTTCTTTTAGGTTGGTGATGCAGCAGTGTTCTTATCCACTAGCAAGCCGGATCGACCTTTTATTGGTAAAATCGAATCGATGTTCGAATCGAGTGGATCAATGGTAGTCAGAGTCAAATGGTATTACCATCCTGAGGAAACTATAGGAGGTCCTACCAACCTGAAATATCCCGTAAGTTGAATCATGGACAGTTAACAAGTAACGATTTTAAGAGCACTAGACTTAGTTAGTTATTGGATATAATTTTATATCAAATGGCCCATTTTTGGGTGGTAGTTAACTTTAGGGACTCAAAAGCTGAAAATCGCTGGTTTCCATTGATCAAAGCTCCAGTAACACCCGTGCAAAGCTTTACTACCGGTAAAACGTGCACCTTCTATTCAATCCTCTTTTGAAAAATTGCAATTTTATCACAGGCCATCGAAAATAATTAACAATCTACGTTTTTTTTCAAGGGTGCTCTATTCGAGTCGAATCACTTCGATGAAAATGAGGTCCAAACGATATCGCACAAATGTGATGTTGTTTCGTTGGCGGAATTCAAAGAACGAATTGGGGATGATGAAAGCGCATATGAGAGCGTCTATGAAAACAACGAACTGTATTACTTGGCAGGATTTTATCAGGCCTCTCATCGAACGATAGTGATGAATCGGGACATACCATTCACCAATTGATTTCGGTGTGGACTCTTGCTTTCTCACTTCAAGCGTGTGTAGATACTTGTATTACTTTAGAATAGTATGGACGGTGAAATGCTGCCATCTTTCGCAGGTGAGAATTTTATTCAATTCCATTCTGGCTAATACTGGCAGCATTAAATGCCATCGCGTACTAAACAATCGTCGAAATGAGCAATACTAGTCGATAGGTTGATGTTTGAAGTACTAGTGATGATTTGGTGCTATTTGTTCTTTGCGAACAGAATGTATTTGGACAGTTGCTGAGACCTTGCGAGGGCAATGAATGCAGAGATAGTAAGTTTGCACTCTTTTGTTGTATATTTGATTTTGGTCGGTTGTGTAGAAATGAACAGTACAGTTTCCAGGAAAATGTGGCTTTATGAGAACCAAATTTTGTCAAATTTTGCTGGAAATCACACTAATACAATTCATTGTATTAATTCTATTGGTACCAGTGGGGATTTTCTTGTCAAATTTCCTCTCAATACAATTCAATAAACGTGTAATTGTATTGGACCCAGTGGAAATTTTGTTGTAAAATTTATATTATACCTCTACAGGCGCTGTAAATACATAGATTCTAATATTGTTAGTTACATATGTGTTTCGAATACATATTGTCACACAAACTGAAATATATATAAATATAGATATATATTTTCATATTAGGGCCAATAGCAAGGTCATTTTGGTCTACTTTACTCGATATAAGGTACCTCGAAGCAAAAATTAATAACTATTTCTAAAATATTTCACAATCACCCAATTATGAAACGTTTGGACTGTATCAATGGTGCCTAATTTTACTGTATTTATGACCTAATGACTGTGAACTATTGGACTAGGATTAAGTGGAGATCACCCTGTACGTTCACGGTATAGTCAACATTGAGCGTACAGAGTAGTTGAAAATGCCAACGTTTATTGATCTTTTCTGATGCCGAATACATACGTGTTTTACATATTACTACCCAGCCAAAGTGTCCATTTAAATGCTTTCACTCAACTCATTTAAGCTTCCATTCCAAACCGGATATTAACAGACAATTCACAGATCAATAAATGTTGGTAAACGTTATATTGAAAAAAATCCGATGACAAAATGTTGGAAAAGTGAGACATATCTTTAAGGGGAAACATAAAGGACTGCGAGACTGTGACTAAGATAGTGATAAGGCGATTTTTGTCTTTCGGATTTTGGAACTTGTAAAAAACCTACTAGTAAGTGTTGTGTCGTGCAATGTATTCGATAAGAAAATGTAGAAAATCAAAAAGTAACTATAGATTTACAGATTACTTCAGAGTATTATTTTATTGACATGTTTTCGTAATATAAACTAGATCGTAGACTAGAGGAAAAAAAACAAAAATACTTGACTGTCTTGATATTGTTGTATGATTAAAAAAATAAGCGTATACGATTATTTGTTATAATTGAGAAGAAGCTGTCTTTTTGCGTTAAATGTTTTTTGTAATTAGCGGTGCTTTTACAGTTGACTCTATTTTAGGAGTTGAGAAATATAATTTTGGCAATGCCTGCTTAACTATTCATATGTGAACATGCAATAGTTAAAACAGACATCGGCTAAGTTCATGTACGTATTCATAATATAAGTGAACTGCTGTTTGTTAACTTTTCCGCTCCCCATCTGAATAGTTCGCTAATTTTAATATACTTGCGTAGCATCTACGTCCAAATATTTTCTAGTACCCCGTTTGGTTTACTTTTGTATTATTTAAGTGTTACAAATCATTGAAAACAGTATTCACTATAAATAAATAAATAAATAAATAAATCTCTATTTTGCCTCTTGAGCAATCTGGTCCCATTCAAAGATCAGTATTTTATAGGAACACAAGCCAAGGTAGTTTGATATAAAGATGAAAATCCCATATGTAAATACTTTTAGCTTGTATATAATTAATTGCTTTGCTCTCTTTTATTTTATTAAATATTCAGTCGAACTATTGTGGTTTATTTTTTCCAACCGATCCCAAACGTTTTCCCTTAAAATGCGAATAGCTCAATTTGATGACCTGATGAGTCAATTAAAACTAGGAAAATTATTGCAACTGGTGAGTTTTTCGGGTCTTTAAGTCGAGCACTTCTGAAGATGTAACCGAAAACTCTAAAACTTCATCACTAAAATTGTACTTTTTCTTAGCTGTTACCTATGGATGGTGACGGTCAATAAATGTTTGCATTGCAATTGTATAATAAATTCCCAACGAGTTTTAGATCCGGCGTAAAGTTAACGTCATTGCTTTCGACCGGCCAACAGAAAGCGATTTTAATCTGGGACAAGGAATGGCGTACAATTAAATTATCATTCAAATCAAATGTGACTTTATACTATCTGTAGTAGGCCTGGGAAACTCAGTGAATTTTTAGGAGTTGGCGCAGTGCTGCGCCAGTGGCTTGGTGCTCCAACCCAAAGCACCGGCGCAGCAACTCGGTTCCATTGTTGGGAAAATGTTGATGACCTTTTTTTGGTTGCTTTTAAATTTATTTTGACGTCTAACGACAATCTTTAGGTATTTTCTGCCAAAAATTATAAAAAAAAAATTATTTGAGCACTTGCCTCCTTCGCTTTGTGAAAAGTTTTGAAATTCGTTTCCAGATTTAAGAATTTGGGAAAAACATCAAACGATTAATTAAATTTATTTTAATCTAAAACTTCGTGAAATCAAGACTTTTGAGAAAACTACCAACATTTCCTTATCGATGGTTCGGTTATCGATAGTTGTCTCTGAAATGATGTAAAAATGATCGTTTTTGCTGATTTAATTGCAGAAAAATGAGCAAAAACGAGACGGAAAACATGAAATTTTGGCGTAATCTTGCACCCTAAGTGTCTGATGTTCAAATTTCGCTTTCTGGGTCAAAATGACTCGAATTTTCTCATTCATGTTGTCACGGCTGAATAGAGTTTTCAAATCTCTTCAACGAATTCTGTGGCTCAAATGGTTCTTGAGAAACTTCGAAAGAGGCAGCGTCATGTTTGCGTCGATTTTGCAACTTCAACAGAAAACACGCATATTTTCATATTCATTATCAAGAATACTGACAATCTTCAGATATTTTCGGTGAAAATCTACAAAATAAATTTTATTGGGGCACTCCTTAACAGCTGTGTAAAAAAATTTCCAGAACCTTTTGCAGCTTTGAATTTCGGACAAACCCTAATAATTTTTTCTGCATTTTTTTATCTGTTGTATTAGTGTCTTCAGTCCAAAAAGTGCAAAAACTTTTCCAGGATTTAAACCAATTTTAAGCGAACGAAAAAAATATTGTATTGGTTTTGTTAACTTTTCATCCGTATTTTTGTCGCTTCTGAATATTGGCGAATGCATTTCCCACTTTGATTATGTTATTTAGAAAACCACCATAAGGAAATTAGTAGCAAACTCATGAGAATGGGCTTTATTTAGTATAAGCGCTCTTTTTAATTTTCTAGTAGACTTTGATGATGTACAGCTAAATTATGCATAAAAACCAGTTTAATAAAACCATTTTCGATTTTCCACTACAGCAGATGACCAGTTTGAAATTTCCATGAAAGATGCAATGAAAACGTCGCTAATTAAATGCGCAATAAATTGGTAAGCAAAATCGATGATCGAAAATGTGATTAACATAATTAACAACAAACTCGCTTTAATTTAATAGCCGCAGTGGATTTTAGCTGATGTTAAATTATCCGTCTCGGTGGCGGCTGATTTATGAAAAATGTTCCAGCTAGCTCTTTTCCATCCAAAAATTATCTAGAATAAATGACGCTTCCACTCGCAGTGAAAGACGTAAAAACTGGTGAAATTATGATATATTATTACGCGTTCACTGCACAGGAGTTTCATTTTGGTTTATTATGAAACTCGTGTAAAAATGCCTAAAATAATCACTGGAAAGGATCGTACAATTTCCAGATAGGAAACGTATACAGCAAACTGTGGGTTGTAGACGAAAATTTACGCAATTGACGTCAAAGTTTTAAAAAAAATTGCTATTGAATGACGCTTTTTCCTCGGTAAGTACTAATTATCGTCACCCGACAGCCGAATAAACGATTTTTGAGCGTTCTTCCGATTTCTTCCGTATTATTGACCCAAACACTTCATAAATGCATATTTGTGGCCTTCTTGCGTCGAAAGAAATCGATTGAGGTCGATTCGGTCGAAATTTTTCCAAGGGTCGGTTTTTTGCAAAAAAATGTTTTCCAAAATGTCTTAATTTTACATCATTTTCAGCTCATGGACGCGAAGAATGTATCAAACTCATTGAAAAACATGCTAGAAGTTTCAGATTCGAAATCATAGACATTTTCGGCGCATTTAAGCGTTTTTGAGCGTTCACGATCTTTCGCCAACGATTTCGTCCTTATTATTGACCCAAACACTTTATAAATGCATATTTGTGACCTTCTTTCATCGAATGAAAGCGATTGAGCTCAGAAAACACGCATGTAAAATTTTGATTTTTGGTCGAAATTTTTCCAAGGGTAGGTCGTACTAAATATACGCATATTGAAGAGCTTCTGAAGTTGAAAACAAATTATCCAGGTCAAAAAACAGGCACATTGAAAATTTGGTCGAAAATGTTTGAATGCAAGATTCGTTAGTTAACACAAATCGGTTTTGTTTCTTAGAATAACGAGCAAAATGGGCCAGCTTTGGGTGTTATGTGGACCAATAAGAGTTTTGAACGGCAAAAATAACCCCATCTGCAGGAAAACAATGCGATGAAATTATTCGAGGCCTTTTTCCATTTATTCATATTGCAGTTATTGCACACTCTCAAATAGACATTTCTGTATTTTATGGCAAAAGCTGATGCACGTTTGACTGTTTTCCTTGTAAAATTTGTCACAGCTGTTGCCGGTTATGATGCATTAGCGTTATTGCGGTTATAAGGCAGCTTACTTGTATTTTTTGGTGCTTTATTACGTACGGTGCAATAACTGCATAGTGGGTTTTCACAAAAATAATAAAACGGTCCCTATTCACTCAACGATGTAATCTGTTACGAGATAAACATATTAGTAGGGCGTACGAATTTTATGTTGCAAGTAGTTAATATTCACCTATAAATATTATAAAGCCGATTTCAACACTTTTTAAAACCAAGCTGAAATTTAACTAGGAAACATTTAAATTAAGTATTATTGTTATTATTTCGTGTTTTTGTCCATGATTACGTGCTTTATGTTATCTAGACTGTTCGCATGTATCTGCGCAACTGGTAGTTTCAATAGTTTGTTCTAAAAATTCATAATAAACGCCACTTTTAAGGCCAATTCGCATTCGAAATTGTCTGGTATTTACTGCGGAAGCCAATAAAAGTTTGTCTAGTTTATTGCGGAAAGTTTCTTGCTTGCAAGCTGATAAATTTGTCTTCGAGTCTGGTGTTTGGAAAAGTTTCCTTTTCGTAATTTTCCGCATAAATAAGAAACGGCAATTGTTACGGCTTGTTGTGCTGAAAAGAAGCAATTTGAGGAGCGATATTTATGCAGATCCTGTGTTGCGTTGATGATGTCAAAAACTCCATTTTCCTTGGTTTTTTCCCATTGAAAGTTTCCCAGGAGTTTTATTGGGGTCTTAACTTTTCTAATGAAAGTGCTGGTCAATTGAATTTTGTCTAATTTTCAACAGAAATTATAACTACGACTGGAAAACCGATTTCCCGCTTTTAAAAGTCCCTTTTCCAATTAAATATTTCCTGAAAAATACCATCGGGACTCAGTAGCCAATCCTGATTACTGATAAACCTCCGAGGGCAAAGATCGATTTTTCCTCTTCAAAGGCGGACATCTAATACTTGTGACATATTTTCTATAGGGGAGATTCGCATCTAACAAAGTAGATGTTCTGTGAAACTTGATGTGAAGTCTTTGATAATAAACGGAAATCAAATAAACCTTAATGAGTTGTCAATGGCGATTTTATTCGGTTAATCATCAATTCCGTGCAACATTAATGAATTTAATACAACGTTTTGAAATTGTGTGTTTTCGACGATTTAATTCATAATTGAGATGCCATCGATTCAATTTGGAAATGATGAAATAAATCTGTCCTGAACATTCGTTTCAAAAATGTAGACAAAAATTGTTTTGGCTGTTCTAAGCTCGATTTGCTAATTTGTTTGGAATACAGGGTGAAAGTGAAAAATTGCCAGGGACAACTGAATTTTTTAGCTTAGCAAGGACTTAAAAAATGCAAATAAAATAGGAAAATATGCGGGTTGTCCCAAAAAAGGTGTAAGATAAACTTGTGCTTTGGCCCGAGTTCAAGCTTAAACGATACAAAAGTTGTCATTCTTTTCCTGTAGTTCTTAGATAGCAAAATACAAAAGGCGAGCAATCAAACATCCAAGTGAACAGAAACAAACGCCATGCGAAAATCTGTAGTTTAGCTTTTAAAGCGACTAAAATTTGCTTCAAAATGTATGAAATCTCTGAACAATTGGTTATGGTGTGTCTTTACTCAGAATATGGACAGAAGACGTAAACGGCAGGATACATTTTTCAGAAGTTACAAATAAATTGAAAAGAACTTAGATTATTTGCAAAACCGAGATGCAAAAAACACCTAAGACACACCCAACATGAAGTGCGAAAAATTATTGGTAACACACGCGCTTCCCTGTCCACTTTTCCTGGAAAAAATCTTCTGCCCTGGTCTACCCGGATAAATTTGAGGAATCTTGAATCAAAATTCTGCAAAGCTGCTAAAAAATTACTCATTTTAATGCAGTCTTGCTCAATCGGAACACGGCAATGTAAACTTTTTTCCATTTATAGAAAGATTGAGCTCCCCCTTTGAAACACACAAACCCGGAGGTTATGGCCGTAACTTATATAGTTCCATAGCCCAAAGGAGTAAACTTTTCAAATAAGTCGAAAGTCGTGGATTATGACTGAAACTGCCGTTAAGATTTTCGGATGCGATAACACGGTTTGGCTTCG